ACACCTACCATCTCCTTCTGCCCTCCCTTCCTGTATCTAATCTCTTTATCAGCTGTGCAGCTAATATCAAAGAGGACGGCGGTGTGAAAATACAGCAAGTAAAACCTGCTGTCAGAGTCCTAATCACAATTAGCTGGGCTGTAGACCCATTAGCCCCAAGGGGAAGACACCAAAAGCTGACAGAATTATTGCTAAGGCTACTGATTGCAAATGATCCTGCTGAGAACAAAGGGTAGGGCCATGGATTTAAAAAAAAAAAAAAAAAAAAAACTCCACCAACCTCATTTTTTTTTTGTATGAATTGATGTTTAATAAAGTCACCATCACAGCTTAAAAATATACAATTTCACAACTCAGTGAAGTTGCAAGGATCTTATCGGTATTAGCAGTGAGGGAGATAACAGGTTTCCTGGATGTACCGACTCCGCTGCTTCCCCCGCTCGACTTTGTTACATCAGCTCCGCTACAAAGGCGTGCACGCCGTTCACATTATAAAACATTAAGCTGGGAGTTAATGACTGATTGCAACAGCCGTTAGTCAAACTTGTAAGGGAAGGAGAGCAACGGCAAAACAATGCCACATGAAACCCTGGAGTGGATCACCTGCAGTGTCAGCCTTTCAAACAGCTCCTCGCATTTGAAGTTAAGCCCCAGAACCGTCGGGGTTGTCGGAGGTCGTGCCGGGAGATAGAAATGTCTCAAGTTATTACAGCAGTCAGGTAAAGTGTGTGGCAACGTGGCCCTGTAATGGGGTAGAGAGCCGGCCAGCAGCAGCTAATGAAGGCGTCTCGAGGAGTACTAAAGAGTCTACGTGACACTACTCCTGATATCCTCGTCTGAGGACACAGATCAATTAATACATTAACGAACGATCGTAAGCACTTCATCTTGCAATATGAAACCGGCGGCCTGCATTCGCTGCCCCGCCGTCCAGAATGGCTGATCAGCTCGGCTTCTTTAGGCTCTTCGTCATGAATTCCAACATCCTCTGCCAGAGAGGCTGCAGACCTCTCTGAGGCTTTCTTCTGCCTCAGCACCGCTCAGTGCAGCACATATATGGAGCGTGAAATAAAACCACATATGAATTCTTCAGGCCTGTTGTAAAATACTGTAATGCACCACAGATGACCCAATCACAACAGCGTCTGCCTCCACCCCCCGCTTGTGGCCACAGCTTTATTATAAGCTGCCATTTCTAGACATCTGTAATATTCTGCTGCAATAAATAAAAACAAAAACATTAATGTGGGCAAAGCGCGTCGTGTGAGCAGCCTGCAGCACAGCTGAGTGCGTTGGTTGGGGAAGTCCAACGTAAAGCGCTGCTCCATGCCACGCCGTATATATCCAGTCTCCCCATTACCACCATCTCTACTCGACAGCAAGGGCCCTGCACTGCTAAATTATTCATCACACTGAGGGGAGGACAGAAGCATGCATGGTTTCTCCACTCCATGCCTCTTCCCTTTTTCTCTCTGTCTCTAATTCAAAGGAACAGCCGGGTGGGGAGAATGATATACAGGCCGTCTTTCCATCACTGTGTGGCCATTGCAGGAAATGTCGCCTCCACTTCCTCCAATTACCACAATGGAGTTGAGGCTGAGTTTTTAGGTTATGGCAGGCCAGACGGTCGCTGGATTGCCCGCCGCGCATATGTGGAGGAGGAAAGGTGGGTGGCACCCATGGGTCCCATGCATAACGTGGGACGTCTTTGTATACACATTCATCTATATCAGTGGGCAACAGGGAAATGTAAGCCAAAGGTAATTGCCCTGGATAAGAACATCTGCTTGGTGAATAAATATTCTAATGAGGGGAGCTTGCAGGTTCCCCAGACTGATGCACAGCTGACAGGCCTCCAGAGGGACCACAGGTAATGCTCACCACCTGCAGTTCAAATGCAGTCACACCTTCCTCTTGAAGCTAAACGCTGTCCGGCTCTCCCGTCCGTACACCGCGGTTACCAGATGTTGTACAGCAGTTCCCTCTCGTCTGTCTTCTAACCAGAAGAAACATCTGTAATCCTGCATAAAGCTGTATTCTTATTCTCAAAGATATTCTCTTTTCCTTGTTTAACGACATCTGCTTGGTCACTTCTTCTGCTGCGTATATTTTCCATCAGTTCGACGTCAAATAAACAGTTTGAATAACTATGTAGTCAAAAAGTTTTTTTAATCTTTTTTTTATACGCTCAAAAATTCCCAATTGATTGATGAACTTTTAAAATCCGTTAGATGTTCCAGATTATTTATTCACTTTTCTTTCCCAATATTATTGTAACTGAAAGAAATCGTATTTTTCAAAACTAAATTTGTCTCGTTTTCTTTTAAGCTAAAATCAGAATCGTCTCTTCCAGATTTACATCCGTGTCTGTGACAGAGACCTTTTCTATCATGCACATTTACAGTCCTTACATGCATTAGACTCAGTCTATCACAATCTTTATCATAAATATACCACCACCCCCCCAGACACACAGATACACCCCACTGCACAATGCAGTCTAGGGTTTGTTGGTGTGGATCGTGACTCACTCATCAGCAAATGTTCATTGAAAAATATATTTTAGGAATTTATTATCCTAACTACAAAATAATCTTTTTAAACAGCTGTAATAAGTGTGTATCTTTGGTTCTTGACTTATGTAGCTTTTACTGCAACAAGATAGATTTTTTTTTTCATTTCCCTCCATCCTTTTTGTTACACAAACAAGCTTTTTGTGCCGTTTTTATCAAGTGTGCACTAAACAAACTACAGTTGATCAAAGCTATTGTCTCGTTGCTTTAAAGAGTCTGTAAATTAATTTCAAATATAAACACAAAGCACTGTTAATAACAATAAAACTAGCAACATTAACTTATCATACATTTATTTTCAAAAATCATGAAGGCTGAACGCTTTTTAAAACGGTTTTAAATTAGCCAAGTTGTAATTATACCACAATGTCTACATTTATCTGACCTGCATGAAACAACAATAAGACTCCACTGAGACAGAAATCTAAAGTATATTTTATCCAACATGTAAACATCTGTGATTTACCACCAAGTGTAGCAGCATTCTTTGAATTTCCTCATCCAATGATTGATTATTTTTAAGAGAAGTGTTTTAGTTTATTTCTTTTAGATTATTCAATGGCATGGTCTAAATGGCTTTGCTAGTAAAACACTGCAAATGTCCTGTCATAGAAGACTCAGATATCAATTCAACATATCCTGAAACTTGTTGTTCTTGTAGCTGTAGAAATATTAATCATTACCTTGTGCAAAAGAATTGTCACAAAAACCTTTGGCTTGCATAATCACAATCCAGAGTATCATAAAACCAAGTAAAACAATATATTATGCATGTACTGAAATCAACTAAAGTTAACAGAGTAAGAGTTAAGCTCTGATGATCCACCAGTAAACGCTCCGGCACTAATGCAATGAGAATAAAGTCACCGCAGCATGTGAGGCTCGCTGTTACATTGATGAGGCTGCAGGGCTGAAAACTGTCAGCGCCATGCTTCATTCCACGCTGCCCCATCTGTGTGTGGTCATCAGTTTGACTGGCTGGAGGGGGAATTTGTCATGAAACCGGAGGTGGAGAAAGGTGAGTTACATCCTTGCAGCACACCTTCAAAGAGGCCATGAGACAGTGATGAGCCTCTCTCAATAAGCAACGACCCCCCGGAGACACGCCGAGGCGATCGCTTTGAGTATCAAAGAGGCCTCCGATGGAGCAAGGCCTCCGAGGCAGGCAACACCACACGCTGGAGTATTATGCTTTAGTTATGACATGATCTGGAAATCATACACTTCCCTGCCACTTGCACTTTTTTTTTTCTCCAGAAACAAACAGCAAAGTTTAAAAAATGGTCCAAATATGAGCTTATCTCTTGGCTTTAAGAGGAACTTTGGCCCTGAAACATCCTCTTTATGTAGAAAACGAAGCTTCAGATCAATAACTAGTGCTGTTTCATTCACAGCATGCATAGTGCACTTTAGTTATTCATGTTTTGTTTTTCACTTCCAAGTACAAGAAATTGGTTCAGGTATAAAGTCATTTATAATGGATTCATCCACGTGAAATAACTCACAGCCCCCCTTCCAAAAAAAAAAAAAGATGCTTTCTCCCCAGAAATCTGAACTCACGATCAATAGCCACACACACCACACACACACACAGTCTGCAGGAGACACATCTATAACTGCATTACAGCTCAGGCTGTTTACAGTGGCAACGCTGGAAATATTCATTTACTCTTTTTGTTTCTGTGCAGGTAAAAAAAAAAAAATCAAAGTTAGCAAAAGAGCGAAAGAATAAAATATGATCTTCAACGTGCAGTAGTGGGAGATGAAATAGTAAGAGTGCAAATGCAAAAGCAGCAAGCACTGGGCGGGTATTGTTGTGGTGAGAATACAAACCACAGAGGAGACAAAACCAATCTGACTAATCACACATGATCTCAAAGAGAATTAATCAGCAGCTCTGGTTAACAATCTGTAATCATCCTCATTCTGTGCTTAATGCCGTTTAATTTATGAAATTCTGCCTGACTCGGATAGAAGGGCAACGAAAACAACATCTGAAGCCCAAAGCAGATGAGAAGATCAGAACGTGTCCCTGAAAGACCCTGAGCAGCTTCTTCTGAAGGGATACGTGTTCAGTCAACCAATGCACAGCAAGCCGGGTGCTGTGACCATCCGTCCAAGTTGAAAACCAGTACTTGTGTTGGTAAAAACCACACTCCAACATCCTTTCCCATTTAAAGGTTGAATAAGTCCCGACACATAAACGCAGGCCTCGTCCCGCTGCAGCACCCACCATCAATAAAACACATGGAGGTGGAAAAACCATCAGCTCTGCTCGTGCACGAGGGAGGCGCAGCGTCACAAACAGTCAAACTCATTCAGTTTGGGCGAAAATGTATTTATTAACGGGCGAAAACGCTCGGAAACACACGTCACGCCAAAACCCTGCCCATGGTCAGCATCCCCACTTTGTGCACCGGTACTCACCCAAAAGTACATCATCATGTTGGAAGCGGGACAGGTGTGGGCAGGCGGGCGCAGGAGAGTGGGGCCGAGCACTGGGACCAGTCCAGCCAGTGAGGGTGTCACAAGGAGTCCGAGGGTTTGGACAGAGAGCTTTACTGGTCCCTGATCCACAGAGGCAGCCCTCCTCAACTCTTCAATGGAGCTTGACTTGAGGTTTAGGTTCACTCCCTCCTTCGTCTTTTTTTTTTCTTTTCTTTTGCTTCTTTCTCTGCAAGCAGCTTGTTCTTCAGTTAATTTTTAAAAGCTCCCTTTCTTTCTCTTCTTCCTCTTCTGAGCCAACACGAAAAAGAGGGGGAGAAAGCAGACAGGAGAAAGGAAAGAGAGCTGGGGAGGTGTTGTAACCTCTTTTTTCTTTTGACACTCTTCCACTCTACTTGCCTCTCCACACCACTCACTTCGAGACTCTCTCTCTCCCTCTCTCTCTCTCCCTCTCTCTCTCTCCCCCCTGTGCCGTCTCTTATTGGTGAATGTGAAATCGGTCGGTACGGCGCCGAGGCTCAACTAGAGCAGCAGGAGCAGCAGCCTGCGCTTGACAGCTGCCTCCAGCGTTCCTCCACCGGAGCTGTGTTGCTCTGCATAGAGGAGTGCGCCGAACAATCCGGGATCCTGCAGACGGTACTGTAAAATTCAGCGTCCCGGGTAGGAGGGGGGAGATGGTGGGGTGAGGGACGGTGAGGAAGGAGGGAGGCAGGAAGCTGGTGGTGGAAAGCTCTGCAGGGAGGGAGGGGGGTGAGGATGGTGATAGTGGAGGACTAACAGATTGCTCCTCTTTCTTCTTCATGCTGTCTTTGACTGAGACGAGTTGCATTGAAGTTGTGGCAGTTTTAGCTCGTTGAGGAGAAGAAGGCGAAGCTGAAGGAGAGTTAGAAGAAAAAAAAAAAACGACGCAATCTCACAAAAGAGTGGCACAGACATCTGGGAGGCAGAGCCTGCTTTCCACTTGTTTTCCACTTTTAGCTGCTGCTTCATCACACGGGCTCCTTAGCATTTTTTTTTTCCCAGTTCAACCTGATGGGTTAGTAACCAGGAGCACTTCTGGTTGAGCAAACCTTTTTCCAGGTGATGTGTTGTGGCAGATCAGAGGCCAGATGAAGTTGGTGTGAAATACCTTTGTGTGCCAAGCTATATTACATTACATGCTTTAGTGTGTTTTCCATCTGGCGGCTATAAAGAAGGGGAGGTGAGAGGAGGAGGGGGTGTGTATAGGAGGCGGGAGCTTGGCTATCTTCTAGACAGCACTGTAACAATGAGCCTGCCTCAGCAATTTTCAAAACATATCATCAATACACGACCGGGAGCACGCACTTTTAAATATTAACCCTGTGGCAACCGGGGCAGGCTGTGGAGAGCTCGAGTGGTTTTGCGGCATCCTCTGGTGCAGGATTATCCAATAAAAGATGTCCTGGGGGACGAGCTAATTTGCTGTAGGATCCTAAAGAACATTTTCCTGCTATAGAGAGCATTGCCGTAATGAACAGAGCAGATATATTCAGGTTATGTTACCCATCAGTAATTGCCACATAAGGAGGCAGAGTTGGATTTGCAGCTGGCTTTGAGCAAACCAATACACAAGGGGCCTCATTCATATGGTGTAACTGTCTTCTTAAATTTATCGCCCATTTTATTTCCCCTCCATCCTCAGAAAAACTCAACCAAACAGTGACATGTGAAATGGCACTTAAGGAAACGCAACTGGTAATTTCGCTGAGTTTCTCGTTTCAGTACAATAGCTCACCTTCGAGATAGATTTTAACCGTGCGATCATAAAAATGTTTCTTTGCGTTGCTTTTGCATCACAGTCTGCTTTACACAAACACATAATTTCTTATTGGTGGTCTGGTGTGCTCATACAAGCCTTCCATACATGTCCACCACAACAGCATGGATTTACATTAGCAATCACAGAGTGGATAACCTCCGTACTCCTCCATCAATCTCTGATGGGAAATAAAAATGAAATGCACTTCTCAGGCAACTTAGATTAAAGATCACGCTTTTATCAAATACCGAAGTCTATTTCAAGTCCCGCTCATAAATAACTGAAGGGAGCGACGGGGGAAACAAAAAAGGTGGAGGCTAAAACTGAGGGAGAGACCAGCGGCGGTGTAGGCGTAGATAGAAAGCATCACGGTCCAGAGCGGACACACACACACACACAAAAAAGTCTGACATTTACGCATCAAGTGATCCATACATTTTCATTCCAGGAATGTCTTTTATTTATTATTGCAGATCTGAAAAAGTTTTGGGAACGATGGTGTTAATCAGATGATTCTGCTCGTTTCCTGTCACCATTCTGAGTTGCACTTTTCCCGCGCTTGACGCTACTTATCAGGGATGCGAGTGGCTTTCCCAGGCATTTAGATTTCCCACCATAGTCTAGACACTCCCGGGAGGTTTTTGCCATCCATTATAAAAATGGAGCTTTCAAAGAGAAGAGGAAGTGAAGGCCTCACACAGAGTGTGTTCAGCCTGAAATGTCCGTCTGAACCCGATCCTTACCGACTTCATATCTGTTGGCTTAATATTTTATGACGGTCTCACCTCTTTTCTGAAGCGCGCTGCTACTTACGGAGCAACTTCTGTCAAACTACCATCAGATCTCATCATTGGAAAGACTCTAGAGGAGACAATGAGAAGCACATCCCTCGAAGTTCTCACTCCCTGTGGAGCCCGGCGATGTGGTTCTGGCAGGTTCAGCCTTTTGTCCTTATTCATCAAACTCTCCTGTTCCCCGCTGGAGCACGCTGGAGCACGCAGAGGGATGAAGCTCCATCCTGAGTCTCCCAAGTTGGTTTCCTCAAATCCCTTTATGACCTGCTGTAACAGCTCGGTGAAGACGATCTGTAGCGTCTCATCTCTTTGTGCATCTTCATCACAGGCTTGATGTTAGACTCCAAACATCAGTGCAGGAAAAACACATGAGAGGTTGCACAACAGAAAACTGAAAAAGCTCGAGTCCATAACCATTTTCTCCTCCATGTCTTCCCTCTTTACTGTCAAAAAGGCTTTTAGGTTGTTTTCACAGCTGATAGTCGGGTAGACGGTTCGGTTGGGGACCAATATTCATAACATTTTGTTTACATTTGAGCTGGTGCTTTTGCATTCACACTGCACTGTGCAGTCGAGCCAACCTGTTCCCCCACTCGCCTGTGGTGGCGCTGCACCAAGAACTAATGAAAGAAACGACACAAAAACCTCTGAAGAAGACACTTCTTTTTCTTCTTCTGCAAATAAAATCAAAAATGGAGTGGCGTCAAATTTGAGCAGTTTTAGGAGTTATATTTTGTCATTTTTCAACAATGGACTCAGCATGAGCAGAAGATGAGGCAGAAGACCATGGAGAATGTTGTTTTTCACACAAGGCAGCTGACGGCTCCATATGAGGTAAGAGAAATATGTGTTTGTTTGCCCTGCGCTGTAGTCCACTTCCTGCTTGTATAGCGGTGCCCGTTCTGCTTACATTCACACTGTACTCGAACCGCGCTAGAGTTTTCTTCTACCGGACTGAGACCTAGGTTTTAGCCCGGGTCAGAGTTCGCCTTTTTGTTCCATGACAGAGTTCGATGGCGAGTTCACACCTCCCCAAACGAACCGGACTTCCTAGGCAAACGGGCTAGAGTTCGGGACAACAGTGCTGGTGCGAATACACCCCTAAACATTTGTGTTCAGGGTCTTTTTTTTTCTGCTCTGCATTTGAAAATCAAATCTTGCAAACGTCACATCAGATAATATTGCAAGACCTGGTCCTTCCTCCATGACCACAGTGTTCTAGGAGCTTAAATAAATGACAGGTAGATATCGCTGAGATTAAAAATCACTTTTCCAAAAGAGACCTGGCTACGTGGAATGGCAGCAGCGTTGTCTCTTGGGTTAAAAATGGAGGACAGATCACAGGAACTACACGCTCATGGTGTTTATTTGTGCAGCGATCAGGGGCTCAGCAAAGTTGCAGATGTAGAACAGAAGAGACAGAAAGCAGCAAAATCTCTGAACAACTTAAAGAAGTTGGAGAACAAACAAAAAAAAAACTAATCAAAAAAGCAAATCAGCAGTTTTTGATTCTCTGCAGACACATTTCAGAACAGCAATAAAAACACCCACACCTGAGCATACTGCCTGATTTCATGTGAATGCTGTTGAAACTTGCCTCTTTTAAAGAAGACAGAAAGTTGCTTCAACTGACAAACAACTAGACTTTGTTGGGCCTCCAAACAAACGCAGCTATTAGGCTATTTTAGCCTAATTTCTAATAAAATTTTAAAATGTGTCAAAGATAAGGTGGGAAAAAGGCAACGCTTGCTCAGATCTTTAAAACTGACCCATCAAAGCGAAACGAGCTTCATAAGATGATTGCACACCTAACTTATATTTTAACAAGAAAAATCAATCCAGAAAAGTTTATATTTTATCTAAAAGGAAATGACATAATGCAATAATTTGCTAATCTCAAAGCATTATTTTATTCACAACAAAATTAATGGTGAAACCAAAAAAAAAAGTGTTTTGTAGAAAAAAAGTGAAAGCGGCAACATTTCAGAAAAGTTGGGATGGGGCGACTTAATACACTAAAAATAAGAGCTTTGAACAAGAAACAACTGAAATAATCTTTTTCAACAAATTATATTATCTGACACAGGTCAGCAAGAAGTGTAAAAAAGAACATTTGTGAGTTCCTGTAATCTTCGGGTCCTCCGGCAATGCTTCATTAAAAACTGGCTTAATTCTGTTTTGGACATTACCGCATGGGCTCAGGAATATTTCAGCAAATCACTGGATGTGAACAGTCTGTTGTACCATCCATAAATGCTGCTTAAAGCTCTATCATGCAAAGAAAAGTCCGTATGTGGACACCATCCAGAAACGGGACATTTTCTCTGGAACATAACTCATTTAAAACAGACGGAGACGGTGCAGAACGGTTCTGTGGTCAGACTAGAGTTGCATTTGGGCCTAAAAAAAAAAAATAATCGGACCCGACCCGCAGCCATTTTTTCCCTAACATGATCCGAATCGGTCAAATTAACTGTAATTACAGGCCCGAACCCCAAAAAACATTGTTTTTATTAAGCTTGTACTGATTTTGTAAACAAATCAGTTTGACATGATTTAAAACCATATTTAAAAGAAAGGAAGATATAAGATTTCTTGTTTCACCAAATGGATATTAACATACAAACCAGATAGCCTAAAACAAAAATCAACTCTAAAGAAAGGCTATTATACAGACGAACAAAAATATTTTAGAGCAAAATTATTTGGAAAATATAGAACAAATCTATTTTAAATGAACGAGCTGCTCGCTTCGGCTTTTGTAGATGCTGCCACTTCCTTCACGGCAGATGACAGCAGGTGCTGAGACGCATGCGGCTGGTGATCAGCTGATCCATCCATCCATTACTTTACTTACTTTACTTTATTGTCATTGCCATAATAACAGTTCTGAACAGCAACACAATTTTGATGGAGAATCATACACCTACACATTAGTAAATTAGCACATAGTGGTAGGAAAGAACTTTGCAAGGTTCTGATGATCAATGTAAACACAGATAATAATACAGCACCTAGACACAGTTCAGCACGGCTGTACTGTAGTACCACTGCATCAAAGATGTACAAAAAAAAAAGCAAAGTAACAACCATATCGTGCAAAAATTGTGCCGGGTGTCGGACCTCCAGGTTGCTGCATCTATGCGCGCCGCCATCTTGGTCAGGTCAGTGATGTGCATCTTTACCCG